GGGGGTTTTTGGGGTCGCTGATTACAAATCCGTTATTTGATTTTAAAAATTGAAAATGACAGACTTAAAATAGTAGCCCAAAATTTAAATAATTGAGTTAAACCCGTGAAATTGTTTACTCGGGGGTTTTCGGGGTCACTGATTAAGAATCTGCGGTTACTTTTTAAAAATTCTAAATGGCTGACCAAAAATCCGAAAAATTGAGCTAAACTCGTTAAAATGTCTACCTAAGGGTTTTTCAGGACAATCTTTACGAATTCATCGTTACTTTTTAAAAAATCAAAATGGTGGACCAAAATATAAAAAATTGATCTAACTTTTTTATATTAAACGTAAAAAGGTGCCATTTGAACTTATCAAATACAACGCCAGAAAACTTTTTATGGAAATTACGTGAGGATTATTTAATTAATAATCACAAGACTAGCTTAATTTTTTAATTCTATCCGCCATTTTGAATTTTAAATAGAGATTTGTCATCAACCATTTAAAATTTTTTTAAACTGACATCGGATTTGTAATCAGCGACCAAAAAAACCCCTATGTAGACATATTTACGAAATTAGCTCCATTTTTTCAATTTTTGTCCGCCATATTGGATCCGCCATTTTGAATTTTTGAAAACTAACACCGGATTCGTAATCAGCGACCTCGAAAACCCCCAAGTAGTAATTTTCACGAGTCTAGCTCAATTTTTAATTTTATCCGCCATATTTAATCCGCCATTTTGAATTTTTGAATTTTGAATGGAGATACGTTATCAGTTTGTAAGTAAACTATGTTGTGGTTATTTTTATCGTCATATGTGAAGTTTTAAACAATAATATAGATCATATTAGTGGATTTTTTGTGTTTTTTATGTCGTTTAGGCGCCATATTTAAGTCGCCATTTTGAATTTCAAAAAGCGCCGCCAACGCCGCCGCTGTTCCAAGACTCTGAATATAGCCGCAAGTCAAGAGAAGGGGGGGGAGAAGAGAAGGGAGAGGGGGGGGGACTTGCGGCTATATTCAGAGTCTTGAAACGATCTTAACCATTAAATTTAGGGTGGGGGGAGGGAAAAGGAGGGGAAGAGAGGAGGGGGGATGGGGGTTGGCGCGCGAAGCCGCTGTTCCAAGACTCTGAATATAGCCGCAAGTCAAGAGAAGGGGTGGTAGAAGAGAAGGGAGAGGGGGGACTTGCGGCTATATTCAGAGTCTTGAAACGAACATAACCTTTAAATTTAGGGTGGTGGTGGGGAAAAGGAGGGGAAGAGAGGAGGGGGGATGGGGGTTGGCGCGCGAAGCGCGCAGGGGGCATAGCCCCCTAGTATATATATATATATATATATATATATATATGAGGCATTCTTTGTCAACGCGGACACCCCCCTCTCGCCCAAATTCTTTTCATTTTAAATTCATGTTTAATGGCTTAAATTTTAGTTAAAGGAATATACTTTTGAAATCTGAGTGGCATATTTCCAAATACAAAGGGCTAAAAAGGCCTCAAACATTACTTTTTGGATTGTTCAAAATGAATTAGAGTAACTTTTTATTGGTAAATTTAAAGAATAACCTTTATATTGGATCCTATATTTTGTTTTTGGATATATGCCACTCAGATTTCAAAAGTATATTCCTTTAACTAAAATTTAAGCCATTAAACATGAATTTAAAATGAAAAGAATTTGGGCGAGAGGGGTGTCCGCGTTGACAAAGAATGCCTCATATATATAAAGTAACAATTAGAACTTAGAGAAGAATTTTTTCGACTGTAAATGTAACGTACTTATAATATCATGAATCAGCCTATCAGTGACAATGAAGTTTATCGACGATTCGACTGTAATAAATTAAAATCCGTTGGCTTGCGTGTTGCGAGGCCCTTAAAGCTACTGGCGGCTTGTCGAGATTCTTTTATGCTTAAATCGACTTCGTGTTATTGTTAATTAATGTTCTAGTATTCGACTTACATATACATTCTTCAGTCACAAGTTTCACTTGTCCTCCCACTTTATATACAATGCGTATTCTTGAAAAATCTTTGAACATCCTGCCTATATAAAATTTCGAATTGCAAATTACTTGAGGCATAAAATTACAAATCACTAAATTCAGTAAGTATATATATATATATAGACTCAATTGAAAATGAATTTCAGTGTAGTATATAGGGAGAATAATTGAATATTTATTTATAAAAGGGAAACCATGTCGTTGAATTTTATTTTAGAATCTATATTCAAGGTATATTGTGTTTCTCAAACGCTTCCTTGTTCAATTATTCATCATGCGCGTTCTATTTTATTAATAAATATATATATATATATATATATATATATATATATATATATATATATAAGTCTGTAATCGATTTTATGCAACCTTACGATGTCTATTTTATGGGCAATTTTTAATCAAGTCCCGTCATTCTCTTACGAATGAGACTTCTAAAATATTAATAACACTGTTAACTTGAATGTATCAAATTGATCCAAATTTTTTTATCACTTTGATACTTTTTAATTAACTGTGAAAGAAGTTAATTGTTAAATTTCAATGAAATATTTTAAATATTTTTTGAATCTTTTAATTTGAGTATAACATGAAATATGGATTTTTCTATATCTAATTATGGGTGATTCTTCGCGTAGCGCATACAACTTGCTTTTTTTCATGTTGTGAAAGAAAAATCACAAATAATGTTAACATAATATTTCGATTCCAATGTAAAAAGGTAATTTATGTGATTACAAACAAAAACCAATATTTACTTTTGTATTTATCATTATTATTTTTCGTGAAAAGTGGTTTTTAAGGCTGAAAACGTCAAAATTTCACCTGTCCCCACAGAATGTTTAAACAAAAAAGTTAATATTTTTAGCAATGAGCACTAATATATATATAATTTCTGTTGCTATTTTAGTATTGTATATTGTATTGAAATTGAATAAAAAAAACGTTTGATAAAAAAAAATTATTTTCTTTTTTTTTTCTATTTATACTTGACTGCACTTTTGTGTGTTATTCTGGGTTTTATTATTAAACATTGAATTATTTAAATAAAAGTCAAATGTTAATATAGTTCTACTTCAGTAACCGACCCTTCAATATTTTTTAAAAAAATAGAATATAATTAAATAATAAAGGTTAAATGAAGTGTAGTTATATTATTTTAGTCTCACAGTTTTCCTAAAAGTATCAAATTGAGACCAAAAATTGCATCAAATCTTTGCAACGTTTTGATGCACATAAGTTATATCAAAAAGAGATCGTTTTGTGTATCATTTTTAGAAATGATACACGTAACGGTCTCATTTTTTGATGCAAAAAATTTAATCAATTTATATCAATCATGGCCGAATTGAATCGACTCAAAATTAAACGAATTTTTTTCAGATATTTTGGTAATAGTACAATTGCGGAGACCATTTCACTATTTAATTTGAAAATGAAAATAACAGAAAATCAAAGACAATGTGCAATTCGATAATTAAAAAGTGACAGCTTATAAACATAACCTAAAATGCATGAGAAAAAATTTGTCGATAAAATCAATATAGCCGAGCTTTTTAGAAGGTAGATGGCAGTTTTGCTTTTTATAAAAACGATTCAGAAAAAATTTAAAGAAAGAAAATAGATGAGTGCTGCCATCTACCTTCTAAAAAGCTCGGCTATATTGATTTTATCGACAAATTTTTTCTCATGCATTTTAGGTTATGTTTATAAGCTTTGATTTTCTGTTATTTTCATTTTGAAATTAAATAGTGAAATGGTCTCCGCAATTGTACTATTACCAAAATATCTGAAAAAAATTCGTTTAATTTTGAGTCGATTCAATTCGGCCATCATTGATATAAATTGATTAAATTTTTTGCATCAAAAAATGAGACCGTTTCGTGTATCATTTCTAAAAATGATCTCTTTTTGATATAACTTATGTGCATCAAAACGTTGCAATAGAAAAAGATACAACCAAGTTTACTGTGGCTATATATATGTAAGTTTACTATAACTTACCAAATAAATTTCTATAAATTACCGTATAAATTTCCATAAATTACCTCGAAAATTTCCGTAAATTACCGAAATAAAAATTTTTAATTGTCGTTTGCGCTATATATATTTTTGTAAATTACCCCAAAAATTTCCATAAACATTTTAAATCAAATTTCCACTATTTTATAGAATTCAAAAAGCAAAAATTTTTTTTTAAATTTGTTTAAAAAAAATTTTTAAAAATTTTTCCGGCCCACCATGGACATTTATTTCTTGACACTTTATATTCAAAAATATGTATTGATATTTATCATTTCGATAAAAAAATATTTTTAAAGTTTCAGACACCAAAGAGTGCGCTATGCGGTGAATCACCCTTATATATAATAAGTAAATGCATTATTAATAAAAATTTAAATTTTTACTCCACCATATTAGGGACACAATTTAAAATTTTCAAAGATTAGTAATCAATGAATACGACCCCCCACAGAACCGAAACTTTCCTAAAGATTTATTTGAAATGTTCGGAATATTTAATTGCAATGTTTAGTGATTTACACAATTTTCACTGAACTTTGCAATTAAATATTATGAACATTTCAAATAAATCTTTAGGAAATCTTCAGGAAAGTTTCGGTGCTGTGGGGGGATCAATTTTTGAAAATTTTTGTTCCATTTTGAATTTTGAAAATCGTTATTTCAGATTTTGAAATCATTGATCTCAAAAAACTCAGGAGTAACAAGTTTTTTCTCACACTTAGAAGTTAAAAACTTCCAGTAATTTTTATATAAGTGAAATAATATTTAAATTTAAAATTATAATTTTAAATTATTTTAAATGTTTCGAAATATATTTTGAAGTTATTTTATCTTTATACCTGTAGCCCGAGCTGTATGTTTACATTCAAGTACAAAAGGAATACTTTAAGACGAAGGTTACAACAATGTGGATTGAAAATCCCAAAGATAATTTAATCAGTTGTAATTCGTGTATTGACCTGTTTAGACGTGGTTAACGTAAGTGCAAGCAAAATTTGTCTGTGTTAATATATAGAAATATTTTCTTTATCATCATCTTTTATTTGATATTTTCAAGTGAAGAGGTTCGGGAGTATTGGAATATCTTAATTCGCGAAGCAAAAAATTTTAAAGTGTTAATTTCTTTTTTGTCCTTTTTGTAAATTTTTTTGTTCCGGCAGTGTTTGAAATTCTTAAAATCGCGAACGCTTAAATCTCTAGAAAAAATATTTTGTTTCACGTGGTTTCGAGAGAGTTGGAAATTTTTTAAATCGTTTATGTTTTCGGCATATTTTATGAGCTTAAGCAGGTTTGTATCGCATTAATTTTTTTTTATAAAAAGGTTATTTCTGTTTTAAAGTTGAAGATAAATTATTTATTAAAAGTATTAATTGAAATTGAAAAGAAAAAATTTTCAAAAGTCGATAAATCCTTTTTTCAAAAAAGTGGAGATAAACGTTAATATTAAATTTAAAAACATTTGGACTTAACCAAAATGATTTATTATATTTTTAATTCTTTTTTCTAGAAAAAATTATTCTTTAGGAAACTCTGATCAAATTTTTATATTTTGGGCGCCATTTTGGATCCGCCATTTTGAATTTTAAAAAACCAACTTCAAATTCGTAATCAGCGACCCCAAAAACCCTTGAGTAAAATTATTCAGGCAAATCTGATAAAGCTTTATAAAATCAGCCGCCATTTTGAATTTTTGAAAATTAACTCAAGTCAGTGACCCCCAGAAGTCCTTAAGATGGCTTGTCTGAATAATTCAACTAGTTTTTGAAGCTTCCACAACAACAATTATATTTTTTTGTTTGCCTGTTTTATTCCAAGCGCCATATTTATCGTTCATATTTATATTTTCAAAAACGCCAAACGGCAAATGAAACTAGACATCTTAAGCTACAATTTCATGTATCGAATGATTTTTTATAATCAAACCAATTTTTGACAGTAGGGGATGTTTGTTTGGCAGAGAATGGCCCATATATTTTTTTAAACTGAATAAATAAATTTTTACAAAACAAAAAATTTTAAATAACTATGATTAAATAATTTGATTTTATGTATAACGAGTTGTACAATTTGATTGTTTCAGTATCAATTTAGAGAATCGAGATCAATCGTTGAAAATTCAACAATAACTGGAAGCAGAAATGAGATATCGCTCGTCGCAACTTTCGCTTTGCAATCGAGAATATCCATTTCTCGGTTTGCAATATTGCCCTCTATTGATCAATGCCAAGAAGAGGAGAGAAACATTGGCGCAAGGATATGCGGATCTTTCATCAATCAGCGGCAGAAGTTCCGTTTTCCAGTTGCACAACTATACAAGCAAGATCAACTTCTCAGGTTTCCATCAGTGATGGTTTGACGGGTTTTAGTTATTATTCAATTCGAATGAATCGCCCAGTTATATGCGAATATAACGGAGAAGGAAAGGGGTCGAATATGCAAGTTTAACAAAGTCCATGACTTAGATGAAACTGGTCGACTGAAGCAAGGAATTGAGCGGGAACTGCTAATTAGTTGTGCATTGAATATTAGCCCTAGACGGGAATCTCGCGTGAGCTTCCTCTTCCTTGGGTTTAATATGTGCTTTGGACGAGTACCGCTAATCGGAAGCGAAGGTTGTGGTTGCAATTATAGGGTGGAAGATAGAACAACCTGGAAGATGGGAATGCTCCTTCCGGATGAGACTTATGAGGTACGTTCCTCATCATCAAGACGTAGTTCCTGCCCTAGCGGTCTCGCTGAGATCGATGAGGTTGAAGCTGCCAAAGCTCTAGCTGCCTTCAGGAAATGCGATGAATTCTTGAAGAGACATGGTATCAAGCCAGAGTTCTTCTGTAGACATCGAGAGAAACTTGCCTTGCAGACTTGGCTACTTCAGAGGTCTACGTCCAAGTTCAACTCGGGTGAGTCGTCATATATATAATAATTATTATTAATTAACGTTTAACATCTGAGAAGTATATATTCAAGTATTACCATTATTAATGGCAATAAAAGCTTTAAAAATAACCAATTAAGATTTCTAATGAAAATACATTTTTTTCGAGTTATCAGCCATTGAAAATAGGTCTACATTTACAAAATTGAAATTTTGAAAATTCATTGAAACTTGAAAATTTGTCAAAAAAACAAATATATGTATCTCTTTTTTTCACTACAAAACAAGAAAAATATATAATTAGCCGATTTTAAAGGGTCGACAAAAATCTCACGCTAAACTCTGTTTATGTGAATAAAATTGTTTTATTTTAGTTTCAATATTTTTTAAATTTCTATTTAATGTTGGGATCAAAAAAACTATATTTTTATTTGACAAGAAAATATTTTTTTTTCTTTTTTTAAACAAACAAAATTATAATTAAAAAGATAAAAAACAGAAAATGTTTCTTTCTTTTAGGTCATTTCTATTTTACAGTATTATTAACTTTTGTCAGTGAAATGTCGAAAGACAACTGCCTTAACTATTTTAAGAAAATATTTTCTGAAATACTGTAACAATATGCAAATGACTTTGTCATTTAGATGCAAACGAGTTAGAACGGTTCTGTGAATATTTGACGAAGGAAACGTAAAGTTATATTATTTGATGGTGGATCTTATCAAAGTTCAACTAAAGCTTAATCAAATAATATTGAAATTTGATATATACTAATTTTGTAGAAAATTTATATTTGCACTATTAGTATTATTTATGAACTATATCTTATCTATTTAAAATTAATTATGACAATTTTGTTTTAAAATTTCGTTTTAAAATTGTATTTTATAAACTGTTTATAAATCTAAAATTAAATGAGAGGAAGAGTACTGATTAAATATTTTAAAATTTTGTCTCCCATTTGCTCCTTTTTTATTTACAAATTTTTTTCTAACTGTAATTTTTTTACTTATAGAATAGATTTAAAATGATTATTTGAAAGCTCTAGGCACATCGAGGTATACATTTAAATTACGTATATATATATATTCAGTTCTGTTATTGCAAGAGATTTTTTACCGTCTCATCTCGTTTTCTCGACAAATATCTTTATGAACTTTCTCCCCCCCTCTCTCTCCAGTTTATATATATAAATCCAAGTGTAACAACATGTTACGAACGCGATATAATCCTCCCACACATAAACATATTATATATACTGCATAAACATAGATTCAAAAATCCGCAACTAGATCAGGTACCCTAGAATGCTTGAATACCGGATACCAATATCGCTTTTAGTTATCATCTTTTGTATAAAAGAACGCGAGGCGGATCCAAAGGATCAAGAATCGGGATATCGAAGCGTATATAGAATCGACTTTTTGTTTGCCTCATATATATATATAGAGTGTACCCATGGGGATGATGGGTTATATACTCGTTCGTGAATGATGGTGAGGGAAATGGTTGGGCTTTGGTGTGATGTGAGAAGGAGAGATGGAGCAACAACACAAGTGCCAGAGGCAATGGATTCTGATGCACACTTGCTTGTTGGTAGATATCGTGAATAGTGCAATAAATCAAAGCGCAACCTAATTAACCGAATATGAACGCCATAATAGAGGGGTTCATTACAACTACGTCATTACTAATTGCGGAAATCATCTCTGACCCTAAAAGCACAAGCCTAAGTTTGCTCGGAAGTCTCACTAGTCAAATTTACAGGCATTGTATTGATGAGAATATGCGTTGCATTATAACAGTATCAACATTAATATTATCATCATCATTAACGTTACTGGTCTCTGTCGTACTAATATTAGAAGGTTTATACCTTCGTGTTGATTGGTAACGTGAGACAGCTCCATGGGCTTGTGAAAGCTTATGTCGTTTATTCAAGCGTATTTCATCTCTCTCTCTCTCTGTCTCTCTCTCTCTCTTGATCCTGAGCGGTTTATGGCAATATTCATACCAACGTCATAATGCTTAAATACTTAATGCAATTAATTTCCCTTTTGATTTCTAAGCGTCCGTAAACCTCGACATTATCAGCGTAACATGATTTCGAGTTAGAGATAAGATTTGATAATACAATTGCACAAGATCAATTCAATCATCCTGTGTATTTGCGGTTAAATATTGATGCAATTAAATCGTCAAAAAGTCATTATTCAATATTTATATGGGGCATTCTATTTTAAAATTATACCCCTAGTAAACAATTGACAATATAAGACATTTTTTAAATAATTATTTCTCCCATTTAATTAAATCAAATTACTTTTGCAATGAGTGGTTTCGAAAGAGAAATTTCTAAACTTTATTATTGTAAAAAATTTTTTTTAAAAAAACGTTTAATTAGCATAAAAAATTTAGTTTGAAGGTTAAACTTATAAATATCTTAAAACACGTTGTCTCCGATTTTGACAAAATCTTTGTCAAAAGAAAGCTTAAATATTTTATTTTTTATTTCCGTAAAGTTTATAATGGATATTTTCGAGGATTTCGAGAAATTAATTAAAATTCTCAGACGTTTCAAAGGTTAAAAAGGGTTGAAATTTCCATGAATAGAGAACCTCTGTTCAAATACAGCGGCATTTGTTTTTACGAAATTTTTAAATAAATAAATTTTAAAACTTCAATTTTAACCTTAATAATTTTTTTAAATTTGAAAAATTTTTAATTGCAAATAGCTAAAGATCAATATATTTGTTGTTTACAATATTTTTTTTCTCTAATGTCAAGTGATTTAATAATGTAAGGTTAATGGAAATTAAATTTAAAAAACAAAATCCGCTCTTAAAGAAATGGTTCTCCATTCATAAAAATTTCAATCCTTTTTAACCTCCGAAACGTCTGAGAATTTTAATTAATTTCTGGAAATTCTCGAAAATGTCCATTATAAACTTTACGGAAATAAAAAATAGAATATTTAAGCTTTCTTTTGACATAGATTTTGTCAAAATCGGAGACAACGTGTTTTGAGATATTTACAAGTTTAACCTTTAAACTAAATTTTTTATACTATTTAAATGTTTTTTTGAAAAAATTTTTTTACAATTGTAAAGTTTAGAAATTTCTCTTTCGAAACCACTCATTGCAAAAGTAATTTGATTTAATTAAATGGGAGAAATAATTATTTAAAAAATGTCTTATATTGTCAATTGTTTACTAGGGGTATAATTTTAAAATAGAATGCCCCATATTTATATATCTAAGGGACAAAATTTCTCAATTGATCCAACTTAAGGGGGTTGGGTGGGTTTCGGAGGCCAGAAAAGCATATTTTTACGAATTTTTTTCTAATAAATGAAATTAAATATTTTATTCAAACAATTTACATATTAAAAGGACACATATTGGAAGAGTAAATTGTGAAATTTTTGTTAAAAAATATTAAAAATTCAGCCATTGTGACCTCGTCTTCTGTGACCCTTCAAAAAAAAAGTTATTTTGGCGTTCCCGAGTCAAAATTTTGATTCTTCTTTGACTCTTAAACTGTAAGTTTTCGAGAATAAAGAGAATCAAAAGAGAATGTTATTGTATGTAATTTTCATTCTCTTTTGCTTTTCGATTTTGCGCTTATTTTCCGTTCTGCATTTTAGAGAATCAAAAGAGAATGAAATTTATACAAATTACTCCTCGAATGAATAAATAAATATTAAGGGAAATTAAAATCATGTTAAATGGTAATTCGCAAAAGAAATAATTCTAATATTAATAATTCGTTAAAATTAAAATTCGGAAAAATAATAATTAGAAAATTTAGAAATTATGTGAAATGGCAATTCGGTAAAATAAAAATTATATAAAATAGCAAATCGTAACTTTTAAAAATAGAAAAAATATATAGGTAAATTTGATAAATTACATTTTAAAACAAAAAATTGTTGAAAAAAATATTTATCGTACAAAATGGTAATTAGATGAAAAAAAATTATGTAAAATCAAAAATAGTATAAACAAGTTTTTTGTAAAAATAAAAATTATGAAAAATACTAATTCTCTACAATAATAATCATGAAAAATGATTATTCGGTAAATTGAAAATTATAAAAAATGTTCTTTCGAAGTTAAAAAATTCTGTCAAATAATAATTCGAAAGTATTTTTATTATAAAATCTGACGATTCGAATTCAAAAAATTATAATCAAATTCCTTTTAGATAAAACGATTTTCGAGAAAATAAAAATTCGAAAAAACAAATTTAGAGTTTAATCATGCGCCTCTATATATTCCTGTAATAAACATTTTTCTTAAGATTCTTAAGTTGCTGCATCAAAATTTTTTTATTGTATGTAACTTTTGTTTTTGACATCGTATTATTCAAAATTTTAAGTATATTTAATTAATGCAAAAAATTATAAATGAAGCTCTTCACTGTTAGAGAAAAAATTGAAAAAATCAAAATGGCGGATTCAAAATGGCGGACTTTTTTTAAATTTTGCAAAAATTAAGTTCCATTAAAATTTTTTAAAATTTAAAAATTATGTCCTCCATTTTGGATCCGCCATTTTTTACTTGTAAATTTAAAGGTTAAATTCAAATTTAGCACCCTAGAAACCCCCCTAATACCAAGTATCATTAAAATCCATTGAAATTTTAAAAATTATGTCGGCCATTTTGGATCGGACATTTTTAATTTTTTAATTTGAAGGTCAAATTTGAATTCATCACCTTCGATAACCCTTATACACCTAATGTGGATTCTGTTTATTCGAAAATTTAAATATTAAAATTTTTTAAATGTTTTGCAAATAATTCATGGTAATATAATTTTAATGTTAGTTTGTTTAAATAATGTAAATATAAAATATTTTTATTTATTTTAAAAATTCATATTGTTTAATTTTTAAATTAAAAATAAATTTTTGTAAAAAACACTATATAATGTAATTTTATCAAAGTTGGAAGGAAAAACGAAAAGAAAGAGAAATGTGCGGAATTCTATAGTAAGCGATAATCTGACAGCAACGATGCAGG